TACCCGGTTCAAACTACATCCCATGGAAAAGAACCGAGGCACAAAGAAAAACCACAGGGGATTATTACTATCTACAAAGATACTATATATATATATATATATATATATATATTGAATAAAATATAAAAGTTGAATATGTGAACTCCTCTTTGTTCTTCGAATATCTAGTACTAGAACTTTATGGTATAGAGCTTCGAAAATTGGCTACATTGATTAGTTTCTTCCTCTCTTCTAGTCATTTTCACCCTTTATTGACAATAGATAGAATTATAGAAACCACTAGGCGCTAGTATTCATCATTCAAGATAACTTGGTAAAGTTAGTCCATTTTGCTAGCTAGCTTATTTTAGGCATTCCACAATATTGAGTACCTTGAAAATGATTTAGGGCTCGTTTGGTACGAGAGATAATGGATAATTAATTCTGAAATTAAATCTTTATCTCATATTTAATTGTGATAAAAATGTGGTATAGCTAATCTCGGGATTGTAACGTTTTTTAATCCGCATTGGACGAGTAACATAACTAACTCCGAAATAATTAATCATGAGACAACTTGTTTCCCGACCAGATGACCCCTTATTGTTTCCGGGGAAAATTTCTAAAGCTAGAGCTGGAATGTACGAATAGAAATTCTGATCTTGTTCCCTTCAGTATAGCATTATGAAATCTATAAAAATGAAATAAGCACTTGGACATTCTTATTTGTCTTTACTCTTTCTTTTTAAAATTTCTACTATTTAAAGGGTCAATGTAAGGACGATTATGAGAATTAAATGAACAATTATTTTGTGAAAGACTCTTAGAATCTTTATGATTCCTCTTTTTCTTTGTTCTTGTGTAAGTACTCATTATTTCTTTTCCCTCTTTTTCTGAGTTTTTTTTTTTGCTTTTTCAAAAGGACGATTATTTTCCAATTTAAGATAAAAATGTAGGTAAGCATGTGCCACCCAAGAATGTCCTATCAAACAGTTGAAAGCAATAAATAGTCCAAAGTCCAAATAACACTTGAGAGTTGAGACCGTACGTACACTGCAACGGTATTTCGAACCAAACGGAACTCTTTGGCTATTGGCCCCCACCAAATTCAAAAACTTCACCGTTTATTTAGGTGGCGTTTGAATTTAATTTTAATTTACTAATGTTTCCATAACCGTTTATAACAAAAGTAATGTACTTTAAATAGCCTTTTTAAAATGTAATTTGAGTTAAATCATCACATGTGTCATGTAAGGGTATTTAAGAGAGTTTATATATTTTAATCAGGTTAGTTATTGTCCTAAGGTTTGATGTTAGATAGTCAAATAGTTTCACATGATATTATTGCTAATTTAGTAAGCTCATATTCTTATGCTCCTATATTTATATTAAAATTCATCAATAAACACTAAAATTGCTTTGCACGATGTTAAGTAATATGCAATGCACACAGATTGCGTAAGTACATCTAAAAGGATTTGTAAATGTCTTAAAGTCGTTTGACTACTTTCGTCTTATTTTCATTTTTTACTAATTGTAAATGGAGGAATTAGTACGCATACCATATAATGCCTCGTACCTCTTCCGCGATCGGGGTGATTAGAATAGCAAAACAATTACAAATGTTAATTGTATAATAAAAAACCAATCATGACTTTTATATTTTTGTACGAGGTAAACAAGTAATTGCGAGCTTGGGAAGATCGCCAGCTGCATAAATTTTTTAGTGTAAATACATCTGTTAATTTTGTAAAATCAAAATATGCTAAATATCGTTATTTTGACAAAATTGGAGTAGTTTACTAAACCAAGCAAGCCTAGATTTGTTTCCTAATAGTAGTGTGCCCTGCACCAAAGCACCAACTAAGAAGGATTATAAATAGGCATCCTGCTAATTTCCTAAGTTATTCATTCAATTTTACTTTTACGTCCTTATTGTGTTCATTCTGACTTGTGGTATTGACAGATGTTATCTACCTTTACTTTTGAGTAGCATTTTGCTATTATTAGCTATGTTACTTTTACTTGAAAGGATGTCCAAAAATTCAAACTCACCCTATTGTTTCTTTCCATCTATAAACATTATTACTTCCTCCGTTCATTTTTAATGGTTCATAATTAACTTTGTATTCCCTTTAAACATAATAAATAAAATATATCTTTTACCATAATACTCATAATAATAATAGCATTTTAAATCTTGAAAAATAAGTAGGAAAAAAATTATTTTTATCTTGATTTGCTAAAATTGATAAATAAAAGTAAAAAAATATATTTTAGTATAATGAGCAAGTAAAAATGAACAGAGAAAATATTAAATAAAAGCTCGTTAATGCATAATAAATAATTAAGTACAAATAATACAAAAAGTACAATATTTCCGGTTAAAAGGACGAAAAAAAAGACATTCTCCCTATAAGAAAAATATGTATGCTATTCCTTAAATATGCATTCTTGTTACAATTTCTAAGTATGTATTATTACTCCGACTTCACTGTCATCTTAATAACCATATAGTTGGAGAATCAAATCTATGATTATTTAATTATTAAGCAAATCATGTTAAAAGACGCCAAGAAAGAAACCATTATTAGAAAAAGAGAGAGAAGAGATTTTAATTCAAAATCCAACAATCATTAATATTTATTTGATGCTAAAAACAAAAAAGAACTCTTTTTCCTTTTTCTCTTGCAAAAGTGTACCCAAATTCCTCAGCAAATTTTCCAAGATTCTTCCCTTTCTCTATCTCTATCAGTAACATTTACATAGTTGTGTTTTCGCTCTGCTAATTTTCTCTCTCTAGCCCCCCTTTTTTCTTACAATTTCACAAACACCCACGAATCTTTCTCTCTCTTCTGGTCTAGTAAATATAAACACTACCCATTTTCTGCTCTGTTCAGCTCATAACTGGTTGTCTCAATTTCTGCATTTAAACATATAGTAGTAATTAAAACAGTGCTTACAATCACATATGCACATGCTCTTCTCTGTGTGTGTGTGTGTTTGTGAGGTGAGTGGCAACTTCTATCGTTTTCTTGAAGGAAGCCCTCGTGAAGTTCATGTGAAACTATGGTATACAAAGAGATCTGAGAAAAAAGTAAACCAAAAACAAAGACCTTTTTATGATAGTAACGGGTCACTTGCTCCTTAGCCACTACACTAGAACAACTAGTTTCTCTCTTGATTCAGGTGAGTAATGTAGTGTTTCTCTCTCATCTTTGCTTTCTCTTTAATTACCACCATTTAGTCAGAATATACAGTGACCCTTTACTTCTAATAAGCTATTTAAAGCTTGAAACTTTTGGTTGGTTAATTCAGGTGTTGTTCGAGAAGAAAAGTGGGGCTGCTTTGTTATTGTCGAATCACTGTTTGGTGTCTGTGAGTATTTGAGTTAAATATACTGGGGTGCGGACAGTTTGGAATCTTTATGCTATAGTTGAGATGAGTTTTTGTTTTCGCTTTGTTTTCTTTGTTGGGTAGTAAGCAAGAGTGGCAGCTGGCTAATTGGATTTTTATTGCCTAATGATTTGGTTTAAGATTTTTCTGCTTGGGAATTTTAGCAGTCACTGGACGTGAGATTGGTTAATTGTGAAGGTGTATAATAGTTGCCGGGTGTGGTTGATAGTCTTGGAAGGTGAATCTTTGAGGAATTGAGTTTGATTAGGTCATTATTACTTGGTTCTGGGGTGTTACTAATGAGATTTTACTGGTGAGTTTGGAAGACATTTTAAAGTTGGATTTTTTTTTGGGCATAATTGAGAAGATTTAGAGAGAGAATGATGCATTGGTTGAAGTCTAATCATAATTCAAGAATATTTCCGTTTTTGGATCAATATATGTACTGATCATGACCAGGGCTGTCCGTGACCGGATTCTTAAGGATGCAAATGGAAACATTAGTGATCACCTACGAAACCACATACATTTGACAAATTGTATTCATTTGAAGAACCACATGCATAAGCAGAGCCCCATCTTGGGTGACAGGTCCCTTATGAGGGAGCTTGTTGTCCTTCAGAGGTCAAGGTCGTTGAGGGATCCTTCTGCAAGTCCACCCTCATGGCATTCTCCTTCTGTTGTCGATGCCCTTCTTAAAACAAGTGAAAGGAGGGATGCTGTTGTCAGCAGTGGTAGGCGGTCTCTAGGCGTAGACCGGCCTATGAATGCTAGAGGTTTATCTGGAAGCTCACCTCCTTTAGCTGGCCGATCGACATCTAGAGTCGCTTCTGCAGAGATTAATACTGAGCGAGTAGCAGGGGCTCCGAGTGACCGAAGTAGCAAGAGTGGAATTCGAGAGCGGAGGAGAGTTAGGAGAGAAGAATCAAGCGGTAGGAATCTGGGAACTGACTTCAAGGATGAGCGTCCAGATGATTTGGTGCACAATACTGTTTCAGAGAACTCTGAACTAAGGGATAGAATTAGCAATGAAATAGAGAGGCAGAGGTGTGATGATCGAATAAGGACCCTCTCTGAGCAATTAAATAATGTTCCAATGGACAGTGATGAGGTAGCTTCTTCTCATGGAAGGCAAACTCGTAATGAGAAATTTGCAGTGCAAGCGGAGGCAACCACTCGTGGCTATGGCAGTAGCAGAGTAAAACAGCGCAAGTTTCGACGGGCAAGAAGAGCTCGGGCTTCTGTTCCTTCAAGAGATGCTCTTGCCCACAATGAAATGTCTGTGGCCTCAAATTCATTAGGTCAAGCTTCAGCTCACCAAAAATATCATGCAGAAGAGTGCTACGAAGAGTATGCCAACCAGAATGTGGCAAGGGCTCCAAGGAATGGATGTGGAATTCCTTGGAACTGGTCAAGGATTCATCATAGGGGAAAATCATTTCTTGACATGGCAGGTAAGAGCTTATCTTGTGGTTTGTCTGACCCAAGGTCAAAAAGAAGTGGTATTGGTCACAGAGGGAGGGACTCTGCTGATATGCCAATAATGTCCGAATACTCGAGTTCATCTAGTCAATCTGAGGCAGAGGCGTTGCCCTTACTACTGGATGCTTCAAATTCTCAGGGAAGTACAGACAATCCTGCTTGGGTTCACAATTATTCGGGAGAGTTGGGTATCTATGCTGACAATTTGCTAAAGCAAGAACTTGACTCGGATCTTGCTTCGGAAGCTAGATCAGGTCAGAAACACAAATTTCGTAGGCGTGGCAATAGTAGGCACCAGAGTCTAACACAAAAGTATATGCCAAGAACTTTCCGGGATCTGGTAGGACAGAATTTAGTTGCACAAGCTCTTTCAAATGCTGCTGTTAAGAGAAAGGTTGGCTTGCTTTATGTTTTCTATGGGCCCCATGGAACAGGAAAGACCTCATGTGCCCGCATATTTGCAAGGTCATTAAATTGCCAATCGATTGAGCATCCCAAGCCTTGTGGGTTTTGTGATTCTTGCGTTGCACATGATATGGGAAGGAGTCGGAATATAAGGGAAATAGGTCCTGTCAGTAATTTTGATTTTGAGAATATGATGGATCTTCTTGATAATATGATTGTTTCCAAACTGCCATCCCAGTATAGGGTTTTTATTTTTGATGATTGTGACACACTGTCACCTGATTGTTGGAGTGCTATTCTAAAGGTCGTCGATAGAGCCCCTAGGCGAGTCATTTTCATGCTTGTATCCTCAAGTCTTGATGTCTTGCCTCATATAATCATATCTAGGTGCCAGAAATTCTTTTTTCCCAAGTTAAAGGATGCGGATATCATCTATACTTTGCAGTGGATAGCAACCAAAGAAGATCTTGAAATCGATAAGGACGCACTCAAGCTTATTGCATCAAGATCAGATGGATCGTTGAGAGATGCTGAAATGACTCTTGAGCAATTGAGTTTGCTTGGGCAGAGAATCTCTGTTCCTCTTGTGCAGGAGCTGGTGCGTTTTCTGGCATTTTCTCTGATCAAAAGCCAAGGAACTCCTTCTTGCTTGGCAGACCAAGATCTCATACTTTATTGCTAAAGCATTTATATTATTTATCTAATGATCTCACTTTAACCTTATTTTATTTGCAAATGTATGCATGGAATGTCCAAATTAAAGTTCAAAATTTTTGTGCAAGAGTTTTGTTTTCTTTCATGCTCCCTTTCCTCAATGGGGAGATTACTGAACATGCTTTGATTTATCATACTGCATCTTTTATCAGGTGGACATAGACCTTCACAGCGTTTGAAGGAGATTTTAGTTTTTCATTCTTTTTACCTTAAAGTATGCTTTCACCAAGAGGGTGGCATATGATTGACTTCCATTTGGTTTCATAAGTTTTTAGCAAAAAGCTTTAGCCAAATGAGGAAGTTAGGTGTCTAAGGCTAGTTAAACTATTATCTTTCACTTCAGGAATGCGCCTTTCTTTCGTAAGAGGATATCATGTTTTAACTGTAAGAGGTTTAAGTATCTTTCACTTCAGGAATGCGCCTTGTCTTTCGTAAGAGGATATCATGTTTTAACTGTAAGAGGTTTAAGTATCAGTTTACAGTGCTGCTGAAGCATTAGGGATCTTGAATGTGAAATTTAACAGGTTATCCAATTATATGATAGAAGCCTTGGCGCACATTTGAATGTACTTTAAGCTTCCTATAGAACCAAAATTGCCTCTAATGGACTTGTAATTGCGTGTTGCATAATAATATCGAGCAATTTAGAAAGGCATTTAGTAGATATTGTTCTCTGATGAAGAAGTGGAATCTGCTTTATTAAAATTACTTCCACTTGCTTTTATGGATGACTTCTATGGAAAATCATGCTATTCTCCGTAGAGGCTAAGCTTTGCTTCATCTTCTTTGAAAAGTTGCCTGTTAACTTAATTTTATATATGTAAATCAAACATTCTGATAACTTTTTTATGACTTGACCGCTATTACAGGTTGGACTTATATCTGATGAGAAATTAGTGGACCTACTTGACTTGGCGTTATCTGCAGACACTGTCAATACGGTGAAACATTTGAGGGAGATCATGGAATCTGGTGTCGAACCCTTAGCTTTAATGTCGCAACTTGCTACAGTCATAACTGATATACTTGCAGGGAGCTATGACTTCACAAAAGAAAGGCCTCGGAGGAAGTTCTTTCGCCGCCAAGCATGTAAGTGCTCCATAATTTGGTTATTCCGTAATAAATGAGTTATTCGTTGTCCTGCTTGATAGATCTATATGATACTGGATACTAAACTACTGGCAAACAGCTCATGATTGCCAGGCAGTACATCATTGCATTTCCCTTTATAAGTCTTGCAAATGAAAGTTAATCAACATGGCTTCCCAAGCAATTTGCCACTAGAATCTTATATCACGTTCCTCAAGTCAACTAATTGCCTTCTCATGCTCTTTCGATAAAATCTCACAGGAACTTCCGGACTTTATATGCCATCTTAATCGTATTGTTCTCCAGGTTCAGCTTGATCTTACTTTCCTCTGTTCTTTGGTTGCAGTATCAAAACAGGATATGGAAAAATTGCGTCAAGCTCTGAAAACACTGTCTGAAGCTGAAAAGCAGCTGAGAATGTCAAATGACAGACTTACCTGGCTTACAGCTGCATTGCTGCAACTTGCTCCAGACCAGCAGTATATGTTGCCCAATTCCTCTGCAGACACTAGTTTTATTCAAAGTCCACTAGGCTTGAATAATGCAGGGGGAACGGAAAGACCCAGGAAAAGTAATGTTGAGCATGCTGACTTGCCACACAAAGACACAAAAGGTAGGGTAGAAAACTTTCAAGCTGGAAGTTCTGGTGATATTTACTCTGACTCCAGGATGAAAGGTGTTTGCATTGGTGGAAAAGGGCATAATGGAGCTGGAGTATTTGCTCAGAAGGCTTATAGCGTCTCTAGTGATAAAAATCGAATGAGCAGTGGCCAGCTTCCTGATAAGTTGCACCATGATATTGAAGAAATATGGTTAGAAGTGCTTCAAAATATCGAAATAAATGGCTTAAAAGAGTTCATGTATCGAGAAGGGAAGCTTACCTCACTCAGCTTTGGAGCAGGTACATTCGTTTAGGTTTCTTACAAGTATCATTAGCTATGTCTTGTGGTCATGACTAGTGAATTGTTCTTAATTATTTTCATTGCTTGTGCATTTCAACTGCATGTTTAATCAGCAGGTCAAAACTGGAAAAGTTTTCTCGGCTAGATCAGTTTAACACATTAACATTAGCTAAAAACAGATCTTGGTTATTTTTAACATTGTTATGGGGCCTGCAATCTTTTAAGAAACGATTATGGAGTGGATCCAAGAAAAGCTTCTTTTCTCTTATTCAGAAAAAAATCTGGACCATAAAAAAAGAAGTTGGTTGGGCTTTCTTGGACAACCCTGTCTATTCAAGTTTCTTGGATATATTCGTTGGTTTCTTGGTTAATAGAGATCTTGAGCGTATATTTACAGATGTCTAGGATGTTAAACTTGCTATTTTTGTGGGGGAGGTGGATTTGACTTGGAACCTAGTAACATAAAGTGGGCACATTTTGACATGCATATGGTGAGCACTTCATTTGAAAGCCCTGTTGCAGCTGCTGTAGTAGCAGGCTGCTATTCCGAGAGTGTTTTTAGTGCTTCATTCTTATTCCCTCATTCTTTTGAAACTCTCTTTATCTCATTCCTGATGTACATCTTTTGGTTGCCTGCTTAATTTACATCCATGTTAACAAAATGCATTGCTTGCCTTCCTGAATACTACTCTTTTCACTTTTTAACTTGGTTCCGTTTGTAAGTCCATATTCATTCTGTTGTAAGATACCCTTTTGACTGGCATCTAATTGTTGTAGTTTTGGACTTCCTGTAATTCAAACATTTGAAAAAAAAGGTCATGCTGACTTGTAGCAATTGTATATGCTTTGCATATGTTCCACATGACATATGAGAGAGGGAAGGAGGGACTCTGTTGGAAAGATATGTTTCATGTACAGTGTGTCATATTGTCATTCAAAATTGAATGGACAGATGCTGCAATTTTTTTTTCCTTGTACAAAGCATTTTTAGGTTATTATGCTGTTGTCCTGACATCTTGTTGGAAAAAACAGTATCAAATACTGCTCAGTGATGCTTCATTGTAGACGGTGTGTGCGCTCATCTAATTTGCTAATTTCGTTGCAGCTCCAACAGTGCAGTTACTCTTCAGCTCACATCTGACGAAATCTAAGGTAGAGAAATTCAGGGGTCATATTTTACAAGCTTTTGAGTCTGTTCTTGGATCCCCAGTGACAATAGAAATCAGATGTGAATCGGGGAAAGACGTCAGGGCTGGACCAATGGTCTTGTCTGCATCTCATATAGGTGCAAGCCCCAGCATTTATGGTAATGGGATGAGAATGGCAGGTCCTGATGAAAACACCAGGACGCAAGTAAATGTCAGAGAAGGTTTGGCTTTTGCAAAGCTTGACTCAAGAGGAATAGGTGATAGCGAGATAATTGAAGAGGAAGCTTCTCCAAGAGAATTAAAACACCATGGTCAGATCGACAACAATACACGATCTGATTTGCCGGGAGGGACAATGTCTATAGCAAAAAATTCATCCACCTCCATACCTGAACGAAGAAAATCAGGGGATAGAAGCCAGAGTTTGAGCCTAGTTAAGAGCAAGGTATCTCTTGCCCACGTAATTCAGCAGGCAGAAGGATATACGCAACCAAGTAGCTGGTCAAAACGCAAGGCTGTTTCTATTGCTGAAAAGCTTGAACAAGAGAATTTGTATGTACCTCTTTTTCCCATCTTTCTTGTTTTACCACGTTATATATATGATTGTATATATAACCATATTCACATTCATTTGCTTGAACCATTTTCACATTCATTTGCTTGAAGATATAGATAATATCCCATTTAAATGCATAAAACAGGACTATTTCTTTAAGTTGTTTTGATTTTATATAGTAGTACAGATGCGCAAAAGATTAGAGAATGTCCTACTCATTACTTGGGTGAGGAGATATAGGGGTGAATATTTGTGTTATATGAAATGTGTACCAGAAGCAGCCTCCATCCTTCACAGGTAAGTGGATCGAGAGATACACATGCTAGAAACACACACTCCAGCTTAGTGTTGTCCCTTCACCAGTTATCAACTATAAGACCCCGTAGAAAATGTTACAAGCTATCTATACTTCTTTGAGAGTGTAGATTGACCTTTGAGTATAACATCAGAAGATATGGCACCACTTAGTTTTTTTCTTATACTCATCATGTGTAGATATCATTAGTTGAATTAAAAGCAGAAAGCACAAACACCATTCCTCGAGTTTCATATGCCTATTGTCCATGCAAGTTATGAACTTGGCACCAATTTTCTCCTACAAGTTAGTTAGGCAGAGGATATTGCAATTGCATGTTTCTGTATCATCCATCTCTCTACAGATGTGTATTATATATATCTTTCCATACCTTTGTAATTCTTCTTTTTTCTTTTTTTGATAAATACCTTTTGCTAGTTTTCTTAATTATCAAGTATTATAAAAATATAAAATATATAATAGTTCCTTGATATAGCGCCACATGAAGCTGAAAGTGGACCTTTCTACTCAAAGAACTTCCTCTTTTCATACTTGATCTCTGGAACAACATTGGTCGAAATCTGTCTTATAGCAATTTTACTGAAGCTTCGGATGGCGGTCACTCGTACATATGGAATGTTACTTTTATTTTTTATTTGGAATGATGCTCCTATATCAAATAGTTCTTATAGTAGGTATAACTGTTTATACTTAACATTCAATTGTTGTTGGAAAAAGGGTAAATGTTCCTTGTTTGAGTTGCTGATTCTCATGTAGTAATGTGATATTTCTTCTCTGCAGGAGATTAGAGCCAAGATCAAGGAGCTTGCTTTGCTGGAAGGCTAAAAGAATCACCCGCCGAAAGGTAAACAGATTTCAAAAGTCTATTTTCTTTTTGAATGTAAGAGTCCTTGAATATTTTCTGCGCATCTTAGATTCTGAGTATGTCAACATAATTTGCTTGCATTCTGCCACTAATTGGAACTTGACATACTGCAAGAAAACAGTTGCAATTGTAAGCAAGTATGAAGATTAACTTCCTCACATGTCAAATGAAGATGCTTCCTTACTGGCTGCCTTTGTCTTCCATTTACCTGGTTATGATGGACCAAGACATCTCTT